CAAGATTCCAATGAAAGGTGATCTGAGCAAATGTGTGAAGTATCGAGGCATCACACTGCTATCAATACCAGGGAAGGTCTTCAACAGAGTGTTGCTGAACCGGATGAAGGATGCAGTAGACACCTAACTTCGAGATCAACAAGCTGGATTTCGTAAGGATCAATCGTGCACAGACCAAATCGCGATGCTAAGAATCATCGTCGAACAATCAGTTGATTAGAACTCACCACTATTCATCAACTTCATTGATTATGAAAAGGCATTCGACAGTGTAGATAGGAGGACATTATGGAAACTTCTTCCACACTACGGAGTTCCTGAGAAGATTGTCAACATTATCCGGAATTCATATGACGGACTACAGTGCAAAGTCGTGCATGGAGGTCAGCTGACAGACGCATTCTAAGTAAGGACCGGAGTCAGACAAGGCTGTTTACTCTCTTCCACTTTCTTCTGGTGGACGACTGGATTATGAAGACCTCGACATCTGAAGGAAAACACGTAATACAATGGACAGCTCGAAATCAATTAGACGATTTGAACAATCCAATCACTCTTGTTGGCGAAACTCTGGAAGATGTAGAATCCTTCACATACTTGTGAAGCATCATTGATGAACAAGGAAGTTCAGATGCAGACGTAAAGGCAAGGATTGGCAAAGCAAGGACAGCATTCCTACAGTTAAAGAACATATGGAACTCAAAACAACTTTCAACCAATATCAAAGTGAGAATCTTCAATACCAACGTCAAGGCAGTTCTACTGTATGGAGCTGAAACTTGGAGAACTTCAACAACCACCATCAAGAAGGTACAAGTATTTATAAATAGCTGTCCACGCAAGATACTCAACATCCATTGGCCGGATACCATCAGCAACAGCCCTTTGTGTGAGAGAACAAATCCGCTTGCAGCTGAAGAAGAAGTAAGAAAAGTCGACGGAAATGGATAGGACATACATTACTTAAATCATCAAACTACATCACAAGGCAAGCTTCAACTGGTGAGCGGCCTATGCTCCTTCACGAGAAGTTAAAGGCGTAAGTAAGTAATCGAGTGGATCCAATGTTACGCTCGACAAACTCGTCTAGACCTTTTCATCAAAATTGTTCTATCCGGGCGAAGAATAAGTGATTAGTAATCGCAATGATCTATTTGTGGAATATTACTTACTTACTAACGCCTGTTGCTCCTAGTGAAGGAGCATAAGCCGCTCACCGGCATTCTCCATCCAACCCTGTCCTGATCTATCCTTTCCAGCTCATTCCAGTTCCCATTCATCCTTTTCATATATGCTTCTTTTATCCGACGTAATGTGTTCTTAGGCCTCCCTTTTTTTCGCTTCCCTTTAGGATTCCAAGTTACAGCTGGTCTCGTGATGCAGTTTGTCGATTTGCGTAATGTATGTCCTATCCATTTCCATCAACTTTTCCTAATTTCCTCTTCAGCTGGAAGCTGGTTTTATCTCTTTCACAGTAGGCTGTAGCTGATGGTATCCGGCCAATGGATGTTGAGTTTCTTGCGTACACAGCTATTTATAAATACTTGTACCTTCTTGATGGTGGTTGTTGTAGTTCTCCAAGTTTCAGCTCCGTATAGTAGAACTACCTTGACGTTCGTATTGAAGATTCTGACGTTGTTATTGTTTGAAAGTTGTTTTGAGTTTCATATGTTCTTCAATTGTAGGAATGCGACCCTTGCTTTTTCCCGATCCTCGCCTTTACGATTACACTCACTACCACCCTAAAACGTCAAGAGGACCGCACACTCGGCTGCCTACTACCAGTGGTCTTGCAACTTTAAATAATAACCATCACGTTATTACTCTTCAACAATTTTGACTGGATTAGGCTGATCAAATGATCACAGGCTACCGCAACAAAACCTGTTTCAAACAACTAGGTTCCTTTGGACATCCTTATTCAGTCACAATATCGCAATATCTGACCAAATACCTGCTTTACAAGAACACATCTGCGCCCCACTCAGACATCATAGGCTCTCTCCATGTCTAGATCAAAATGGACTTCAAGTTCAGTTTGCCTTATTTTTCCTACTTTGCAGTTGTATTAATTACTTTTTCCACCCTATCTCTTCACTTGAAGTAGACAGGTAACTCACTGGACCTATCATTACTGTTAAACTAAGCTCGGTCGATAAGGGACACTCACTACCACCCTAAAACGTCAAGAGGACCGCACAATCGGCTGCCTACTAACAGTGGTCTTGCACCTACGGAGCCTGTTACCAATCAACTGGTTAGGACAACAGAAAATAAAATCAGCACCAAGTTACTATGAGTTCCTTCCTGTTTATCCTGTATTAACTTTTTACTCTTCTGTACACTAAGTTGACTAGCAATTAATATTATTTCTTCACTCGTTTCCACAACTCATATACTTCTATACTTTTTCCGCCTGCTTAAATAAACAACTAACCTACAAGATACCCTTCTTAACGATTATACTCTGACTGGCAAACTATACTTTATACTATAGTCAACAAAGCACTGCATCGATGCTTTACCCACAGTCCATAGCTTGTAATTGTCTGATAAGCTTGTAAAATGGTACTTATAGAAATAATGCTTTCTAACAGGTTGTGAAACAGAGGATTGTGCGAGGTATGTCGTATATACAAAAATAAGCCTAAATGAGCTTAACATCACAATAGGAGGGAGGGTGGAGTTACTGACCAGCAAGCATTGATGGTGAGGGCGATAACTTCAATCCACCCGTGTTTGTGTGGACAGAACATTTGGTATGTATCGGGCTCCTCATGATTGAGAATAAGTCAATCAATCTGTGATGTAGATTGTCTTCCTACGCTCACCACTCAAACTCATGTTTCCAATATTATGCTGGATTAGCTATTTTACTAAGACAACCTATAACATGCTAACTCGGATTTTTACACTAGGATTGTGTGCCTGGCATCGGAAAAACAAAAAAGGAAAAAAAAGTTAAACAATAAAAGATGTAGTCATTAATATTCTTAACACTTCACCCTCTATATACACACCCTTCTTATAAACCGCTTTCCTTGTACCAGCCTTGACTTCCTTCCCATCTTGTGAGCTTACTCCAACTTGTTAAACATCACAACTCATTGTTCTTTATTAGTACATTCTCTAATATGGAGGCTCTGACTTCATTTCACTAACAAGACATAATATGAATTTATTCTAATTTATTATACCTCTGTCCGTTCTACTACACTATGTTAAGCAACGTTTTGCGTTCATATCCAAGTGCCTTTCTGCTCTTCTGTTTCTCTTTTTTTATTCAGAATCTTGCTCTGAGAGCACAGCTATGAAACTTCTGACGTTTGGAACAAACTTGATGTACGCGTCCTCTCAAGGTCATAGTTTACAGCAAGCGCTCTACGATTTCACTTTATAACAACTATAAACTTAATAAGTTGGGAAACATTTTGTGAACCAACGAATGTTGTAATTTATAGATCATACCTGTAAAAACGGTGTGTACCTGCGCATGCAGAAATATATTATATTATTATCTGAACCTCCTTGTTCACTGATGATGCTTCCCAGGTATGTGAAGGACTCTACATCTTTCAGAGTTTCTACATCAAGAGTGATTGTATAACTGTTCTCCGTTTTGAATTTGAGGACCTTGGTTTTCCCGTTGTGTATGCTGAGGCCTTTTGACGCAGACAGTGCTGTTACACTGACTGTCTTTATCTGCATTTGTTCATGTGTAAGTGATAGGAGGCCTAGGTAATCTGCGAAATCCAAATCGTCTAATTGGTTCTGAGCTGTCCTTTGTATGCCGTGTTTTCCTCCAGATGTCGAGGTCTTCATGATTTAGTCAACCACCAGTGGAAAGAGTAAGGGAGAGAGTGAACAGCCTTGTCTGACTCCGGTCCTTACTTGGAATGCATCTGTCAGCTGAGGCTGAGACTTGCGTTCTGGACTCAACTGCTGGGCTAGATAGGGAAGCGGGACCAATGAGAACCCTAGGTCGTTCTACGTGTTTGCGCGTCTTTGGTCCGATCGATAATTCGCTACACTAAAATCTGCCGTCACAGTTATAGCGCCGTCTCTAGCAGCCACATTTTGATTTGATTCCGTACAGTTTTTTTTTTCATTTGTTTGTATGTAAACCCAGCAAGCATGAAATAAACTATTCGTACAGTAGAATTTAATATTAACTTTTTGCACTCAGCAGACAGGACTATGTAGACAATTGACCAAACGCTGTGCTGTCCATACCTCATATGATTTTATCAATATGACAACTGTTATTACTTGTTATTGTTCTCGTAAAAAGTTGTAATCTAACTCTAAAACATCAACAGCAATAAACCTTGACGTTCTCCATCACTACACTAAATGAATAACTGGATGTAACGTGTGATTTCATAAAGCAGAGAACATGATCAGTTTATCTGAGCTGGTTAAACAATCACGCAATGTCAAACAAACAACCAAATTTGTATCACGTAACCTTAGTGTATCAGTATGAGAAATAATTTCTATCCAGCTAATAATAAATATATTTTTTGTTATATCCCAAGAAGTAGAAAATTGTATTTCTGTCACTTCTTTATGGGAAATCAAATATAGCCATTTTCCGAATTATGTCACCCTCATTTCCGGCGTTTTTAAAATGGACATCCTCTTGTGGTCTCTCGGTATTTCTTACAATATTTTGTTCTAAGATAACAGATCTCGAATTTCGGCACGAAATTAATTTATCCATTTGGCTAAATAAAGTTTTGGCATTATAGCTGATGATCAGTTCGTGATGAAAACCTTAAATCTAATTCCTAATCATAACCATCAACTGTGAATCATAATTCTAATTCCTCATGCTGTTTTATGACCCTCATCTAGTTTTAGTTATTAGGAGAACATTCTCAAAGTCACTTTAGCGTCACTCAAGAGGCGTCCATAAATTATAATCTCACTACACATAGATATTAGATTATTCGGTCAAAAAACAAAAACAAAAACAAAATCCAAGATTATTATAATTATATACAATGGTTTTATTCATTTGTGTACAAGAAGACATTTTGTCATACATAATTGGGAAACACTAATTTCATTTAATATTTGATTGTAAAGTATATACATATACAAATGCAAATAAATATCACAAGATAAATCATCCCAATTCCTCTAAAATAAAGAAAGGAAAATAGAAAGCCAGAAATGTTAAAAGTAATTTCAGCAAATTAATTAGTGATAATAGTAATGAAGCTGTGGTGTGTGTTACTTATAATATTATAAGTAGTATATGACGTAAGTCAGGAATGTAATGTCTGGGAGCAGAAGATTAGAAAAGGAAGAGCTAGAGCACAATATAATTTATATGAAAACTTATGAACAATGAAATGTGAAACAATGGATTGATGTTTACAACAGGAACAAATTAACGATTTAATATATGGTTTTTCTATTTTACCAAGTAACTCTGTAATACATTCCATTGTCCCCACCCATGTTTTTGTTCACTACAATATAACAGATATCCAACTTTTTACTATAAAGATGATGTAAAGTAGAAATTTTATTATTGAAACCATGATGTTTCTCCCACAGATCTGTTGGAATATCAAACGCTTTGTAGTCCTCCTAAGAATCATGAGTTTGATTCTCATTAGTAGATTGGATTTACACTGTCATTTTCATTCATGTAAATTAATAAATTCATTTGTTTTGATGATTAACAATAAGTGACTTATCCAAATGATAGATAATGAAGATTTCATGAATGCGCACTGCTGAGGATTCCCATACTAGGACAAAACGACCGTCCAGTGCTTCCAGGTTTTCCATAGTGATCTATCTTCAATTGACTCATGATTTCAACAAGTGAAATTTCTAAGATCTACACAAAACCCATTCTGATAAAAATTATGAAGAGTTCGAGAATTGCTTCGAATGAAAAATTTCAAGTTACATTTACTCAAGTAGAAAACAACAGTATCTTGAAATGATTTCTTCGAAACATTTAATTGGCTTATTAATCATAATTTATGAAATAAGTAAATTGAAAGACAATAGTTCTTCGATTATCCTGTTCATTATTCTTTGAATCAAATTAAATATTTCTTCATGTTGATTACTATAACTTAACAATCAGTATACTTTTGTATTTATGATAAGATATGTACACCAGAATACATCTTGATGTACATCGATTCACCAAAAAAAAAATTATTTGTAGATGAATAAGTTAATAGTATGGAATTCATTTTCCTAATTTCATGATTTTTAAACTTACATTATTTTCCAGGTGAAGTGAGCTCCTGAAATAAAGAAAAGAAGTAATAAGATGATATATTGAAAATGGAATATCAAGAATTATTATGTTTGGTCATTTAAAGCGGTTAGTTTTTACCATATTATAGTTTCAGCTCCAATAAAACCGAGATTCAAGGTTTCCTGTCTAATGCCATTAACCATATTACATCATACACATTATGAACGTGATATCAAGCAATCTGGATTCATAGTCGCATTACAACTTGATTGAATGTATAAGACCAGTACAACAGGTTAGTCAAAAATGATATATGGTTGTATATTTTATAATATCAGCTACAAATGACCGTGTCATTATAGTTTGCATCGATCTGTAGGTTGGATGATGTGATTTAAATAAATACGATCAAATTTAGATATCCATTGAGTCCATGACGCACACGTAATCTGATTAAGAACTTGCTAACTAGATAAATCTGCATCTGTGAATCATTTACCCCATAGACGTCACACAACTGAGCGAATATGACTTTTTGATAGACAAAGAAATATAGAGTTGATTCTTGAAGTGAAAGGTGCTTGATTCCAATCTCTGGGTCCACGGTAATGCTGTGATACAGGAACAGTCAATCAACCAGTCTCAAGTGCAATGAAACAAACACTCTAGATTCCACTGCCAACCACATGTTGTCTTCTCTATATAAACTTGTAACATAATGGTTCGTTTGAGTTAATCCATACAAATTGAATATATCTAAACTAAGATTATTCAACGTCCAGTTAGATAATCAACAACCGAATAATACAAATCATTACAAATTAAATTATGATTCACATGTATTTTAACTCAAATAGTAAATAGCTAACCTGCCGTATTCAAATGACCAGTATTACTTTTTTCTTATTAGTAGATAGGTAGAAAAATAAGAAGAGTTAAAATACTTCCTCAAACGTTTTCAGTTAATCAAAACATAATGGAAAAGTTAGATATTCATTCAAATTCTGAAGCTTTTGAAGATTAATTTGAAAGGTTTGAATTCTGGGCTATGACCAAGGAAGATGATGAGGATGTTAGTATTGTAGCATATTTCCTCACATTTATCGGAAAAGAAGGATATAGCTAATTAAAAAGTCTGGCTTTACCGGAAAAGCCCATTTCGCTCTCAAGGAACTACTTCTAGACTATGTTCAGTATACAAAGTTCAAATGCGGTAAAGGAGGAAGATCTCGTAAAATGATTTATGAGGATATAAAAAAATCGACTACATTACTACGTCATCACAACCCAGTGCATACTCAAGGTTATGCAGATAATTCATTGAGTTTGGATGCAGTTCACGAGGATGGGCACAAGTTTGGTCAATGTTTGTCCTGTGGTAAGTTCCGCTCATTTAATTCATGTAAATTTCGTAATTCTAAGTGCTTTAAATGTGGTGATATTGGACATATTCAGTCAGTCTGTAATACTAATGCTCATCTTACTGCAACTAATATTAAGTCTTGTAATTCTGAGTCTATTAAGTCGAGTATTTATAATGATCATTTATCTTTATCAACGATTTCAAAAGACAGTGTAGAGTCATATAGCAGTTTAGAGTTAAATGAAACTCAGAATTTTTGCGAGACAACAGTTTCTAACCAATCGGTTTATCAGATTTCTTATATTATTGTACCAGATATCGTTTATCCTAATGATCCACTTATTTCTGGCGAAATTCCTTGCAAATCTGAAGAAAAATATGTTGAGTAAACCTAGTCATGATCGAAAACCTGATGTAGTTTTGATAGATGCTGATTTTTTCTAATGGTCTTTTACTCTTCAATGAAATTCTTATTAAATTTGAGGAAACTATTTCAGAAGAATCAAATCTGGATATTCTATCAAATATTATTTGTCCACATAATGGATTTGTTTCTCTTGGGAATCTTGTTCAATGCGAAGAACAAGTACTTAATGAGCTCGAGTTTGATTACAATTAGGATGATTTCATATCAAGTGCTGTTTATCCTTATCACAAAGTTACTTCTAATGTTTACTCTCACCGATGTGGGAAATATGTTTTAAATGAAGCCACATTATTCATACCTTGGGGATATAAAGTTCTAACATTGTTTCGTGATGGAGGATAGTGTTGAAAAACCTATAGTTCGAATTCTACATATTAATGATTTCATTACAACACCGACATGCTAATTGTATATAATTTCAGGACCCAAGTGAATCTGTTCCAATTTCATTTGTTAATTCCAATACTAATGAGCACATTCAAAATACTACAAAGTTTTTATTTAATACAATGTCGGACAGACACAGGATGAACTTAAGAAGAAGACGTACAATCGATTACAGACACTTATACTCCTATTTAAGCTGTGGCAGATGTGGTGTTTTAATGAATTAATGATTCCTTTGTACTTGTTGAATGCATTGATTTTGAATTCCAAATACAATACATTCTTTTGTGTTCATCTAATACTTCTTGATTCAATTGCATGATTTTGTAGATTCTTAATTCAGACTACAATTCAAATAATTTGAAACATTATATCATATTTATTAGTTTCTTGTAAATAACCCCCTATCTGATCGTTGTCAAATTATCATGACATTTTGTGTTAAAATTAGTTCACTATCACAATTTAGTTAGTTACAAAATCATATTTGTCAATGTATTATTGAGAAGGTTATGATAAATCAATTTACCTGTAACATGTTTCTTTGTAACGTTCAAATTTTTTGATTGATCTGTGAAATCAAATTATTGTTATTTTACATGTGATAAAGAATTTCAATGGATAAAATGACGTATTAAACTAATTACAACTGATTAATCACAGAGTATTGATCTGTGTCCAAACTTATAATGACTGAGATTTCTATTCCATATTACTGATTATGTTCTGGTTCAACTTAGTGGAGATAAGAATTGGGCATGACTAATAACAGAACGGATTTAATTGAATATTCTTTGGTTCATGTCTAACAGTTCAATGTAGAATGAGTGTTTCATCCCTGTTTTCTACGTATCAGTTAAATGTCAGTCAGTCAGTAATAACGTAGAACTTCGTACGTACGTACCTTAGTTCGAGTTGCCATACCACATTAGCACAGAGATGCAGTGGTCGATTCAAATCCCGTAGTTGTAGAAGTAATAAAAGTATAAGCAGTTATCAGAAAGATTAGTGTTTGGAGATGTTACTTAAAGAGTATAATACAGTGAAATAAACTTAAGAGAAAAAAGAGACAAGGGGGGATCAGGAGATCGAAATTTGGGAGAACACAAAGAGTGGATGCACCTGCGCCATTGCAAACGATTTTGAGCCATGTCATTCAAGGTCCCTAATCATCGGTTGCTATCATCTCGCGGTCCCCAACCAGGTAGTATACACCTGCCGACATGACTCAGTCTACTTGTCAGTGACTTCATGGACTTGTGCCATGTTTTGGTCTGGCCGCCCCTAGCTTTCTTCCAACCTACTCCTATACCACTGAACATCGCACGTCGAGGCAGTCGGTCGTTGGGCATACGTAACACGTGTCCCAGTTAAATTTACTACCATTTAAATATTGATTGAGGCTTGAACATAGCACATAATAATTCAAATGTAAACATAATGTTTCAGAAAATAAACAATCATTAACATGCGAATTGGTCAGTAAAGTTTTGTGATTTCCGATTGTTAATAATCAGCACTGATATTTATTTATTAAATATCTCATTGCTTTTCATTGCAACAGTTTAGTTATTGTATCCTTCAAATGAAATCTCCAAACCAATTACTTAACTGGAATATGAAGTTTTTTATTGTGTGATCAGTTCACGAACGTAACGTAATATACCGTCACATTTTTTTCTCAAGTAAAAACGAAACGGGTGTTCAGAGTCAACTAGAATTCAGGCATCTATTAAACGAGTAAATTATGAAATATCTTAAGTATGGAGATTTGTGAAGATTGTAGTATTTTCACAGTTGACTTCATAATTCGATCTAAACTAGATCATCATTGAATATCTGGAAACATTGAGCAGTTGTTTGATCCTACTATGAGACTCTTAAGTAGTGCGCATTTAAGATGCCGTAAGCAGAAATCGAACCTGAAGCTTTGGACGTGCTCAAGAACACTTATTCTCTAAACTATTAATTCGGCATACAACAATTTTATAGTCTAATTCTAATGAATATATTATCTTGCTTAATCCTTCATCCATTGCCTGAGGTGGATAACATATTCACCGTAAATTGGGATTGCTCACAAATAACCATAGAAATTAAACTAATCATAATACCTGGTTTGTTAGATTTCTTTTCGTATTTCTGTGTAAATATAAAAAACAAAGTACATTCACACATTTAGATTGTATAACATAATCATAACTAGTTTATTGTAGACATCTAAATCTTGTTGTATAAACACTTAAAAGTAACAATCGAATAATAAAACTATCTCACAACAGGCATCATTAAGGACAAATGTCCTCAATAGATGTTAAGTAACCTGTGACACATTCAAATTTTAGAAACAAATGTCCATCATGAAAATGTTTTGAATGTTACCATTTATAAACATTATTATTCTATAATAGTAATGAGTAATAACTTACAACTATCCAATATTCATTATTGTTTTTAATATGAAATGAATGAAAATTCAATATTAAATAATGAAATGTTGGTTTACATTTTCAAAACATGTTCAATTTGTTATCAATCTGTTTTATATTTTTTGGTTACGATCTGATAAACATAGTGAACGGTAACTAATGCGATCTATTTGTGAACCAATATTATATGTATATTTTTATTGTATGATTGTTAATTAACTAATCTGTTCATATTCATATTCCTCTTATTATAAGCTTTATTTTAACTCAGTATATTAATTATTACCTCGCTCATTCACAGTCACATCTGACTAATTCTTGTACAAATTTTGTTTCATATTTTATTGATACGTTGTGGCCTGTTTGATTGATATATATTAACTCAGTATATTTGAAATATAATGATTCATATTACAGACTCTGAGACTAGTGTTCTGGACTTAACTGACTGGGCTAGGCACGAAGCAGGACAAATCAGAATTCTAGGCTACTCGCACCTATTTTATGCGTTCTTGGTCCGATCGATAATTCACTGCCATCTAGTCGGCGTAACAGTTGTCTACGCAAAATACTTCAAATCCGTTGGCCGGACACTATTAGCAACAACGTACTGTGGAAGAGAGCAAACCAGATCTCAGCGGAGGAAGAAATCAGAAAGAAGCGCTGGAAGTGGATAGGACACACATTGAGGAAAGCACCCAACTGCTTCACAAGAAAGCCCTCACATGGAATCCTCAAGGCCAAAGGAAAAAAGGAAGACAAAAGAACACATTACGCCGGGAAATGGAAATAGACATGAAAAAGATGAACAAGAATTGGATGGAATTAGAAAAGGAGGCCCAGGACAGAGTGGGTTGGAGAATACTGGTCGGCGGCCTATGCTCCATTGGGAGTAACAGGCGTAAGTAAGTAAGTAATCTAGTCGGCGATTACAAGGTATAGCAATTTAACAGATCTTTGTTGAGTTATATCAAAAAAGACAATTTTATCAAGTAAATTTTATATTCTTTCTGTTTCGTTAATATAATGATTAAGGTGAAGTGGTTTCAAATACTATACTTTCATCACTAGAATAAATGTAGTAATTCACAATCATGTTGAATATATTCTCTAATCAAAAAAATATGTTCAATATGGTCTTAATAACTAATTGTACTCTTTTCAAATACACTATACACACATCACTCATACATCTTTAACAAAACATCTTACATCACTGTCAATACAGCTATTTTATGTATAGTGTTAAGAAGAAATATTATTTAATAATTTACAAAAGAAAAATTGGTTCCTGCAATTACAAGATAATAATCATGTTTCATAGCACGTTAACTGTTCATCTTACTTCTTATAGAATAAACATAATAGGTAAATCGATACTATTCGTAAACCATACTATCCCTAAAGAAAACTTAACTTACCATAAATATATTTTTGATGAATGAACTAGATATATAGCACCTCGTGATTTTAAGCATAGCATCCTTCTAGCCTTGGCGCTACACAGCATTTTGTATTATAACTAATATCTAGTTCAAAATGAGAACTGAATCGTAATTATTCAATCCTGAACTTTAATATTTATGTGTAACCAATATCAATCAGAATACGTTTAGAAATCTAATTAGATCATTTTTACAATTCTTGAAATCTAGTGCTCTATATCTATTATGTTATTATCAGTTTACATGAAGAGTAAACTGTTATGTAAAACCCTTTCGTTATATATAATACTTTGTTGTTCTCTTTCTCATGAATGGATCTTTCAAGAAGCTGTTTATTATTGATAAAGAAATACTGCAAAATTTGTTGTTGATTTAATTTTGTGTCCGTCTTATATTTATAATGAAATTAAGTGTAATTACTCACACTGAACACTGTAATAGTTACCAGCATGCTACCAACGCTACATCTCTTCCATGAGTGCAGGCACACAAAGACTTATGGGTAATAGTATGTCACGACTTTAATTTAACTAAGCATTGCAAATCAGCACCTGCCAAAAACTTCTGTGAGTTATGGTCATTTTTACGAGGATTCAAATGCCTTGACAAGGACATGTTTAGAATTTTACATACCACCTATGTAAGATCACACCTAAAGTACTGCATTCAAGCATCTGATGAATGTTTATCAAGAATACTAGCTCACATGAATGTTTTTAGCGTGAAGAAACGTATAACCTGCCTGTTCCTGTCATCTAGATATTTCAACAGGTCACCTAATTATATTTGTTTTAATACGTCACAGTGGCTTTTAATTTCATAACCTATTCAAGTACGTTTCTGAAAAGTGTACAACTGTAACGGGATTAAAATCATCATGTATGATGTTGCTAATAGATTTTGTTTTCTTTCTATTGCAGAGCAAGCAAGAATAAACGCCTTAGAAGAAGAAGAGCAAGCCCTACACGCACTAAACTTACAGGACGACTCATAAGACCGTTTTGTAAACTAGCTCTCTTTCTGTACAGAACCCGCGAAATTTAATTTTGAAATAAACGACTGTTGGTCTTCGTTCCGCGTTCTCTCTGTGGTGTGAAGTGTTCAGTTATCATTGTGTGTGTTGTGGCTTTAGGTCTTCCCGCCTTCCGGTGGCTGTTGATTACACGTGTTACAACTGGTGATGGAGGTGCAGACGGAAAAACGCGATGAGAACCTAGACGAACCCCCTCTGATCCCAATCAGGGCTGCTCCCGGTTCAACCCCACGCCAGCCGCCACTGCTCGAAACATCATCAGATTACTCCGTTTGGAAATTTAAAGTCACAGCCTACCTTCAGAGAGTCCCATTGACCGAGCATTTCAACTACCTCGTTTCCTATCTGAGCGATGAAGCAGTACGCAGGGCTATTGCGAATGGTTTTGCGGCCAGTAACACCCTCTCACAAACTGGAGAATTCTAGATGACTGTTTTTCCATGCCTGTAGACACTCAGCAGATGACAATTCAGTTCTTATCACGCCATCAGAAAGCGAGCGAGAGCCCAATAGACTATCTCCATTCCCTGCAGCAAGTCGCAGTGCAGGCATTCCCTCGGTTAGATATGATAGGACGAGAGGAACTAATACGCTCACGTTTTGTCGAGGGTCTGTTACCTGGACCACTCAAAGAACATTTTCTTCGAAATCCGCCAGCTGATACATCTGAAGTAAAAAGAACAACATTACGTTTCCTGGCCGCTGACAAATTAGTGAATTCAGCCAGTGCACATTCATCATCAGTAACGACGGTTGAACGAGCTACAAAACCTAGTGGCCCGGACACCTGCCAGACTACAGTGGCTGTGACCGACCTTCCCGGCCGAGGTGTTATCCACAGACAATCTAATTCGAGGTGGAATAAACAACCAGCATGGGGAAACTACAATGGGCGTCAGGCTGGCTGTATATATTGCAAACGGTTTGGCAGGAACGCCAGAAGATGTGGTCACAATCGCCCCCGTAAACCAGGTAAGCGGCGTTTTGGCTACTTATCTTCCTATGTTAATCATGTCCATCCAACTACATTTAAAGGTAGAGTACAAGACATCGAGCTGGATATACTTCTAGACACAGGGGCTTCAGTATCCCTCATTAAGGAAGATTTCTTGCAGAGACTTAACAACAGCACTCAGCGTAAACAGTGCTCCTCCACATTAATCACGGCGAGCGGAGACCCCTTGATTGCGTGTTCTAAGATCGGGTTAGAGATCACAATAAACAAGAGCTCTTTTCGACATGAATTCCTGGTCTGCCCCACACTGACCTGGAACATGATTCTCGGGGTTGACTTCATGTTAAGGTATCAGGCCTCTATAGACATGAATAAGTCGGAAGCTAAAATTGGCGGGGTTGTCGTGCAACTACAACGCCAGGAAATGCCAACCGAAACCGTAGCCCAGGTGGAAATTGCAGAGATTGTACGTCAGGTACAAGATAACCAAGTAATAAGTGAAAAGGACCGTCGAGCCACCATTGACGTACTCCAACGATTTAGCTCTGTTTTCTCGGAGAATATCTCTGGAAATCGAACAACCATTGTGCAACATTCCATTGTTACAGGTGACCACATGCCATTACGCCAACCACCTCGTAGAGTCCCGGTGCATTATCAGCCTCATTTAGAATCAATGATAAAAGATATGCTAGAAAAAAAGATTATTGTACCATCTTCGTCACCCTGGGCATCGCCAATTGTCTTAGTAAAAAAGAAGGATTCCTCCCTACGACTGTGTGTAGATTACCGACGCCTTAATGCTATAACTAAGCGTGACTCTTTTCCACTTCCACGGATAGACGCTACCTTAGATGCCATGAAAGGTGCTCGCTGGTTCTCAACGCTAGACTTAGCATCAGGGTATTGGCAAGTGGAAGTTCGACCCCAAGATAGAAAAAAAACTGCATTTGTAGTGCCTAATGGCTTATATGAATTTCAAGTAATGCCTTTCGGGCTAACTAACGCCCCAGCCACCTTCCAACGATTGATGCAGACAGTTCTGCAAGGTCTCGTACCGCACCAGTGCTTAATCTACCTTGATGATATTATTGTATATGGCAGCACGCCAGAACAACATAATGCCAATTTGAAGGCAGTCCTACAACGTATTAGGCAGCATAACCTAAAAGTGAAACCATCTAAATGTCGACTGTTGCAAAAAGAAGTGCTCTTTTTAGGGCACCGCATTACGGAAGATGGAGTGGCAACAGATAAAGAAAAGACACGTGTAATTGTTAATTGGCCGCAACCAAAATCACCCGAAGACGTTCGTAGCTTCCTTGGATTAGCTTCTTACTATAGACGCTTCGTACGTGATTTCGCATCATTAGCAGCACCTTTACACCGATTAACCCACAAAGGACGAAAATTTTTATGGACCAGCGAGTGTCAACAGGCGTTCGATGCTTTGAAAGCTCGGTTAACTTCTCCACCTATATTAGCCTTTCCAGATACTTCAGCAGACGGAGGCGAATTTATACTGGATACGGATGCTAGTTCCTCTGCTATTGGAGCAGTTTTATCACAAGTAGATCGAGATGGACACGAAAGGGTCATTGCGTATGCTAGTCGACGACTAGATAAGAGTGAAGCACGATATTCTACAACACGTCGGGAGATGTTAGCACTAGTAAAATTCTTACAACATTTCCGCCATTATCTTCTGGGTAAACCCTTTCGTGTGCGCACGGATCACCGTGCACTACAGTGGCTCCGCTCTTTCCGCGAACCAGAAGGGCAAGTGGCACGCTGGCAGGAACGACTACAAGAGTTCGATTTCACATGCGAGTATCGACCGGGAAATCGACATGCAAACGCGGATGCTCTCTCCCGAATACCCCAGACCACGGATATTATTAACGCAATTCTTAGTACAGCCCCGGAGACAGACTGGCCCTCCCTACAAGCAACAGATCCAGACTTACAGATTGTTTATCAAAGACAGCTACATGGAAATAGTAAGCCATCCATGAGGGAGCTTAAAGATCAATCCGTAACAACTCGTCGTATTTGCAGCAAATGGGGCAACCTCAAACTATATGGTGACACATTATTCCTAATGAATGAATCAAAACAACCCCTACTGATAGTACCGCGAGTGAAAGTTGAGAGCATTGTGGAACAGGTACACCGCGAACTTGGTCATGCGGGAGAACGTAGAACTGAACACGCTGTCCGTCAACGCTTTTGGTGGCCATCCATACACGAAGATGTGGCTCAGTTTTGCAAGAATTGTAACACGTGCTGCCGTTTTAAATCGCCCCAGCAGACACCCCGTGCACCAATGACGCCGATGGTAACGACAGGACCACACCAGCGAGTTGGCATAGACATCATGGGACCATTGACTATGACAAAAAACGGGAACCGCTACATACTGGTTATGGTGGATTACTTCACTAAATGGTGCGAAGCTGTACCCCTTCCACAGCAGGACGCCCTTACTGTCGCCCGAGCTTTCATCGATCATTGGGTCGCCCGTTATGGTGCCCCGGTTTCACTCCACTCAGACCAAGGTCCATCCTTTGAAAACCACTTCATTACTGAGATATGCCGGCTATTGGGAATCAAGAAGACACACACCACTGCATATCACCCAGAAGGTAACGGTCTCGTGGAAAGAACAAACAGAACCATTAAAGCCATCTTGCAGTCGTTTGTCAGCAGATCGTCACCTGAGTTATGGGATGAGGTGCTTCCCCAATGCCTTTTAGCATACCGTACGTCAGTACATGGGTCCACGGGGTTCTCGCCTGCTATTTTGCTGTTTGGGCACGAATTACGATTACCAGTAGAGATACAGTCACCCCTACTGCCCTACGAAGAACAAGAGCATGTTCCGTACATACGTACTCTTCGCAATCGACTAGCTGATGCATACCGTCTGGTCAACATTAACTTATACAAGGCTAGTGGACACCAAAAAGATATATATGATCGTCAAGCACAAGGACCTAGGTATACAGTTGGAGATCGCGTATGGTTACGCCGCCCAATGACATCACTAGGGGGTTGCAGTAAATTCCATCAGCCCTGGCAAGGCCCCTTTGAAATTGTCCTCATCCGATCCCCCACCACGTTTGTATTGCGTAATATACAACGACCTAAAGACGACGTGATAACGGTGCACTACAACCAGATAAAACCCGATCGGACGACATTTCCCTTCGACGCTCAACTCGCTGATCCACCGCCGGCCACTAGATTTTACGAAGTACCATCTGAAGGAGGGACAGCATACCCGTGCCCAAGACCAGGCACTGAGGACAGTGCCTCATTAGGAGAGGGGACGATGTAACGGGATTAAAATCATCATGTATGATGTTGCTAATAGATTTTGTTTTCTTTCTATTGCAGAGCAAGCAAGAATAAACGCCTTAGAAGAAGAAGAGCAAGCCCTACACGCACTAAACTTACAGGACGACTCATAAGACCGTTTTGTAAACTAGCTCTCTTTCTGTACAGAACCCGCGAAATTTAATTTTGAAATAAACGACTGTTGGTCTTCGTTCCGCGTTCTCTCTGTGGTGTGAAGTGTTCAGTTAACATTGTGTGTGTTGTGGCTTTAGGTCTTCCCGCCTTCCGGTGGCTGTTGATTACACGTGTTACACAACCTTTCGTTGTACAGGTTACAAAAGGTCTGTTCAGAGATATGTGGTTGCTGGTCATATGTAGCGAAAAAAATGTACACTTTTTAGATATCGATTGATTGGACTGCTAACTTCCACCTGGCAATCACTAAATATTTATTGTCAGGATAGATCAAGAAATAGGAAAAGAAAAATTGTTGAAATACTTTGGGCTGAAAATTCCATTTTGTACGAAAAATATGATACTGAATGAAACTTGTAATAACAATTGGTAGATGGTCTTTCTCGACTCTCTTACGAAAGCGCTTAAAACCCTGAATTACCGACATGAAGGCGAAAAATCGACATTTCCCCTTCATTTACGCTTTCATCTGCTTTATTTCCTCCTTCTTCGTTTTTCTTTCCCCTCAACTGGTTGCTTAAGTTTTCCTCTTTTTTACCGCAGAGCGTGTGGTCACTCTTCATTGTCATTCCTTATTTTTATTAACGATTTAGATGTTCATATTTCTGATCTTCTTTCTCTCTTCGGAATTAATAATCTTCGAGGCCATAGAAGGAAGGTTCAAACGTCGCCGTGGTTTAAACTTAAAGCTAGATTCCGCTTTTACCATCGACTCAAACAACCAGTAAAGGAGAAATAAAGGCAAACCAATCGAGTGGTCAATTACTAACACTTCTTCCCTGAACAAGTGATATCGGCTCTATCAGTTAAAAATTTTCAAGAAGAAGCTAACCCCCCACTAAAGCTAAAAGATCATCATAGTTTCACGCACCGATTATCCTTATTAATGAAGACTTTTGCAGACTAATCACTGATAATTACATAATGATATTGTAGTTTATAAAATGAATTAACTTCAACTAGACAACTAATAAGAATTAAATGTCAATACACTTTTGGTTATTAAAGTCACTTCAATAGACTTACCTAATTCAGATAAACCAAACATTTTGTCATGATAACTTGTAATGATAATCTCTTCTTGGTCTTGTAATATTTCATCAAAATAAAATTCTCTTTCATTGACAGAGACAATATGCATTCGATGAAATCCTGATGAATCTTTTTTAAAAATCACTATTTCATCATATTGATTGCAGATTTTTTCGTTTAATTTCCATGTTATATATGCGGGCTTTTCATTTCTCATTTCGATTGTTGTACTTTGCACTCTGAAAACTGAACATTAAAGTAATGTTTACACTATATTCTTACAAATATAAATAGGTTACAGCATAGAACGATCTTTCTTAAAAAAGCACTGAAAATAGGGAAACATTAAACAACTGTTTCATCCTAATGTACTTAGTAAGAATATGCACCAAAGATCTCACAACTAAAGATTATCTCCACACAAATAAGCACAGCTTTTTATGATATATTAATAGCCTAGTATATGTATTGTTTATTTCAAAATGATGTTTCGAGATATCTAAAATCAACAGAAATCATAAAAGCGATAATTGTTTTATGTGTATGAGGTGGATAGTGTACAAACATAAGATTTGGGGTTCTTGTTTCATTGTACCAGAGTTTTCGTAAGGTCAGTATTTCCACATGTCCTGTGGTTCGCGTCACTTACCAATAAGTAATGCAATTACAGTAGTTTCGTACGTGCGTAACTATGCAGTCAGAAGTCGCATGTTTAAAGGTATTCACGTTTCGATTGATGGTAGTATAAGGGGCATTGAATTAATGTGCTTTCTATTTTGATCGCTGATATTGAGTTAAAAGAGACTCAAAGAATAATTAGGGTTGAAATTTCGTTCGTGGTGAATCGGTCGTTCTCATTTATTAATTGGGTCACCGATCACCTTGTAAATATAGACAGTCCAATCTACAATCGAGCTAAAGAGAATGGAAATGCTATTTGAATAATGATCAGTGAACACAAGCCTCAAAATACATTGCCGAATATCTGCTTCTCTTATGGACTCCGTATAAACGGTATCTAGTATTGAAATCGTAGACACGTGTTTCGTCGTAGTTGCGACTCGTCAGCTGTATGCACCTGCATGCCACAGTTGATGCTCACTCCGAGACCCGAACTCAATGCCGTTCGCTTCAAACGCCATCACGTTATCCAATTCGCTACTGAGAACTGCAGTGCACGATCGATGAACAAGGGGATCTGATGCAGACGGGGAGGCGAGCATCGGCAAAGCAACGACCGCATTCATACAATTCAACAGCATATGCAATTCAAAACAACTCTCGACCAATATCAATGTGACAATCTTCAATACGAATGTTTGGACAGTAACACTGCACAGAGCTCAAAAGTCCACAACCACCACAACCATCTTCAAAGTGTACAGGTATTTATGAGTGATTGTCTACACAAGATACTCAATGTCCGCTGGTCGTATATTATCAGCAACAACCTACTGTGAGAGGGAATAAACCAACCTCCAGTTGAAGAGAAAATTAGGGAAAGACGTTGAAAGTGGATAGAACATTCATAAGGGAAATCGCCAAACTGCATCACGAGTCGAGCACCACTTTGGAATGGTGAAAAGGATCGGAAAACATGGAAGGCAGAACAACAGTTTATGTTCCTCCATGAGGTATAACACTGTTAAGTAAGTAAGTAACTCATCTATTAATCTAAATATTCAATCAAAATATTTCTTTACAATTCACTGTTACGTCTCTTATTTTGGATTTCGTCTGATATTCAGTAAACTAATACTAATCATCTTCATCATTTATGGTCATATTTAAACAAAATTAAAACTTACCTCGTTTATAATTTAATTTTCTTTCTGATATTGTCTGATCAAAAAACCCAACATATAAAACATGACTTGTAATAGTATACTCTTCATTTATACATGATGTACCAATAGTTTGTAATGTAGATGCAGTTTCATCAATTTTTAATTGTCTTGTTATATCATATTTTTTTAAATTTAATTTTAATGCATCACTTTTTAATTGATTAAATGGTGTCCATTCAAAATAGAGATAGTTTTTAGTTTCTTGTAATAACCAAAATGTTGGTTCTTTTAAATTATCTATATGTATATAAGAAAGAATATCATAGAAACAACAGTAAAAAGAAACAAACAATTATTATTGTCAAGTGTTATATATATGAATGCATAAATAATTCTTTTAATCTGTATAATCATTGAATACTTGAAAACACTAAACGCTTATTTCATCTTCATAAATCTCTATTCTGATAATAATCATGTAATTACTAATGTTTAGTTTAATGCTAGATTTGTTTCCTTTGTAGTTACAATAAGTAGATGTGATTAATGAAGTCTTATTTACCTAAAACAATGGATGAAATGTTAGGATATTATTGTTATATCCAAGTGAAGATTAAATTACGGGTAACTTTTGAGGACTAATAATAGATATTCAATAATTAGATTATGTATATTCATATTCCCCTAATTATAAACTTTATTTTGACCTTTAATTGATTATTATATGATTTACGGTTCTTAAACTATGTTCAGTCTATTAATTACTGTTCCCTTCGATCACAGCCACTTTTTGGCTTATTTGTGTACACATGTTATTTTCTATTTTATGGTACGTTGTAGTCTGTTTGGTTGATATATAAGCCCAGTGTGTCTGAAATAAATGATTCGATTTGATTCATATTGCAGAAGCTTGTATTGTGTTCTGGACTCAAATGGACGGGCTAGGAAAACGTAGAACGAATAAGGACGCTAGACTGCTCATACCGGTTGAACGTTATTGATTTGGCATAGTGTGAAGATTTGCATAAGTCGTCTCCTGATTGGTAGACAACTCACGTGATAAAAAACCGGACATCAAATCATAACAATTAACATTGTTGGATATCGGTTCAATTCTCCCTTGTAGGATTGAAAGTGCACACTGATAATAAGTTTCATAATAGGACGATATAACTATCCAATGTTTCCAAATTTTTAATAGTTTTACAACATAGATGGATTCATGACTTTAATCAATGTTACTCATATTACTGTCATGAAATTGACTTGATAAAATCTTGATAATACAGTTGTTTGTTATGACTGTTGAATAAATTAACAGGGTCTTCATACACAAATGACTACAAGACTATATAGTATTGTAAATTTACTTATATACCAACCATGGATTCATAACTGATTAAAACAATATCAAGTTGTACATTGAATGTATTTATATCATTTTAAATGTCTGATCAATATGTTATCATGAATGTATTGAATTGTCATTAATCAATATTAATTAATCAATAATTCAAATTTTAAAAAATAATCGAATAAATTGTTTTGTTAAAAAATGATACTAAGTTTTAATAGTTGAATTCATGTGTCGATTAAATTTAGTCCAATATGAAAAACCTGGAAGGACTTGACGACCTTTTTTTTTTCTTAGTATGAGACTACTAAACATCACATATCCATGCTCTTGCATACGAGATCCAAACCAAGTACCTTCAGTCTCACGCGTGAGTAATTTACCTCTAGAATACTGATCCATCATCCAAACGGGTTTGTTGTGAGATAGTTAATCACTGAAGATAACGGTGAATGATGGAGTAATTTTATGGATTGGTTGAAGATAGACATTAACAACGTTAAATGTCAGCTCATTAGTTTAGAGGTTAGACGTTCACTCATGCGAATCCCACGTGCAATAGCATGGGTTTGTATGACTGAGTAGTGCCATACTAAGATGGAACGTCATTCCAGTGCTTTCAGATTCTCAACAAAGCCCTTTTCTGATAAAAAAAAACAATATATATATTCATTATTGATTTTCTATTCAATACTCAATTATTATTGGAATTTATCAAGTTCAACTTTGATATTGATATCGATAAACAAAAGATCCTCTTATATTGTATAACTAAATACATACAAAAACAATAATAACTGACTTACTTTCATTGGCATTGTCTGCCAAATTGACATTGCATTCAACAATAATCATTTGTAGTGTAACTGTAAATATTCAAAGAATCAAACTTAAATTAGATAGAATTGTAAACAGAACTAAGTAATGATTATAATTTGAATAATAACAATATTGTTTATGATATTATTCTTTATTTAGAAAGAATATGAATTACCTTTATGAGGACTAAGTTTGAATTCTATTTTTTCGATGGTCAACATTAAGATGAAGATACATTTAACTGATTAGTCCTAAATGGAACTCCACTGTTAATTACATATCTGTCTAAGCTATGAATACTCAGCCTGTAGCTCTTCTAGAGTTACTGCCGGTAACAAGCCTGGGTAAAGAAGGAGGGTTGGGCATGGGGTTAGCGACTCCATCCCGTAGAAAAGTATCTTACTAAAAAACGCTAAGCTATGAAAGAAAAATCCCTAGCTGTATGCATTTTAAGCATTCTAAACTAAAAATTTGTTTTAACTGATTCAATTTAAGTAGTATGTCTTAAAGAAGTCAAACAAACTATAAACTATAAATGGCCGTCCAGTACTTCCAGGTTTCTAACGGTGATCTAACATCAATCGGTTTATGATCTCAATCAAAAACTTAATAATCTCTACAACCCCTATACTGATATGAACCACTGGTTATTTAATATTGATGAATACGATTTTATGATGACTGACATTATTTTCGTAAATTGGTTGAGGTTACACAGTAACACCGTTAGATGTCGACCGGCCCAGTGGTCTAGTAGATTAAGCATTCTCGCGATATTGAAGGCCATTAGTTCGAATCCCACAAGCGAGATCATGGATGCACACTGCTGAGAAGTCCTACAATAGGATGAAACATCTGTCCAATGCTTACAGGTTTTCAATGGTAGTCTAACATCAATAGATTCAAGATCTCAATTATTTTCCATGTTAATTAGTTATTTGATTATGTAATAAATGGAATATGACAAACAAACATTGTTTTAAAAAAGAATATTAAATGATTATATTAAACTTGAAAAAAAGTGTTCATATTTGACTCATTTTTGTATTGGTTATTAGAATATTCCCATTGATTTTGAGAACTTTAATTAATCCATATCTTATTGGGATATGTGCAACCTTTGAAGATTGCTTTGATATAACCATAATTCACAATCATTCTAAGCAGTGATAGATGATAGCTAGTAGTTGAATCCAGGACGAGCGTTTTTAATTTTCCTATATGCGAATCGTTAACTGAACATATCATCACTTTTCAGAGTATAGTTTATTGAACATTATATTGTCTTCCTTTAAACTGTGAGAATAAAATTGTTTCTTTCTATCAACTAATCCATTCTTCCTGTATTATATCCTTATACACAATCTTTCTTTTATACATTATCATCATTAAAGTGACTACTTCTATGAATTTGGTATTCATCTTATTGTGCTAACGTAGTATAGCAAATTAAACTGATGCATATCTATGCCTGGTCCTACATTATATCTGACTGATTGACTGAATTTATTTAAAGATATTCATAGGCAAGACTATAATTTATGGATGAATCAATCACGTATAAGATAAAAGGTCTCGTAATTTAGTGCGAAATTCATTCATATATTTGATTAAATATTATTTCGGCATTATAGCTGTTATCCATTTGTGATAAAAACTTTGTAAATCATAATTCAAAGTTTTCACACTGATTTATAACCCTCATTTGATTCTGGTTATTAAAAGGATACTCTCAAAGTCAGTCTAACGTCATTCAAAGCTCTTACCATATTCATGTATTCATTCATTTCAAGGAAAAATAACTAATTTTTATGCATTCAAATCATATCAGAATAGGTTAAAATAATTTAAGACATTGATCAAGATTATAACATTAAACTATTTTAGAATGGAAATGTTTGAATATAAGAAATTTCATATATATGGTATGAATGATTATTATATCATTCAATCAAGTTTACAATAAAGCATTAAATGTTTAAATCGACTAATTATAATAACAATAATGATTACTAGATTAGATTATTTCATGTTAATACATATCAAAGCATGTTAATAATAACTTCATCTATTCAAACTTGTAACTATGTCATTGTACTAATATGTTAATATTACATAATTGTAATCAATCTGTATATAAATAATGTATACTTTCTATTAATTTTCTCCTTATTCATATCATGAAAATTATGTCATCATAACTAATTTAGAATATTATAATGATTTATTGAAATGAAACAAACTAAACGGTTTCATTAGATAGTCTAATTTAAGTTTATAAATATATTTCCTTTTTATTATTGTTTGGTAAGCATATTTTAAGTGAGTTAGTTTTCTACGGGATGGAGACGCTAACCTCATGCCCAACCCTCCTCCTTTACCCGAGCTTGGGACAGACAGTAACTCTATAAGAGCTACAGGCGAAACTCTGGAAAATGTAGAATCATTCATATACCTAGGAAGCATCATCGATGAACAAGAAGGTTCAGATGCAGACGTAAAGGCAAGGATTGGCAAAGCAAGGACAGCATTCCTACAGTTAAAGAACAAATGGAACTTAAAACAACTTTTAACCAATATCAAAGTGAGAATCTCCAATACCAACGTCAAGGCAGTTCTACTGTATGGAGCTGAAACTTGGAGAACTACAACAACCAACATCAAGAAGTTACAAGTATTTATAAATAGCTGTCTACGCAAGATACTCAACATCCATTGGCCGGATACCATGAGCAATAGCCTTCTGTGGGAGAGAAAAAACCAACTTCCAGCTGAAGAAGAAATTAGGAAAAGACGATGGAAATGGATAGGACATACATTACGCAAATCGTCAAACGGCATCACGAGACAAGCCCTAACTTGGAATCCTGAAGGGAAGCGAAAAAGAGGAAGGCCTAAGAACACATTGCGTCGGATAATAGAAGCAGATATGAAAACGATGAATTACAACTGGACGGAGCTAGAAAGGATTGCCAAGGACAGGGTTGGATGGAGAATGCTGGTGAGCGGCCTATGCTCCTTCACGAGGAGTAACAGGCGTAATTAAGTAAAGTAAAATTTATTATTGTTGAACATGAACTCATTGCCAAATTATTATAAGATAGAGTATCACTTTAGATTTGAACAAAAATTGTTTTTAAAAAAACATATAATACAATTTTAATTTAATGGTTGAATTCATGAGTCGATCAGGATTAGACCAACATGGAAAACCTAGAAGAACTGGATGGCCGTTTCGTCCTAATATGGGACTCCTCAGCAAAGAGCATCTACGATTCAACCCAGGACCTTTGGCCTAAACTCTAGAACATTAAGCCGATATCTGAAGGTGGTATTGTCCAACTTAAATCAACCCCCATGACAATGCATCACCGTCTACTATTATGTTCAGTGAGTTACGGCCTGATAACAGACACGGTTGAAATCACTTAGTCATATCTACTCACTAGAATTGCAGGAAACACATATTGATGCTAGTCATTAGTGAGTACATTCTGATAATTGTCAAGAATGAGAATTTTGTAGAAATTGTAGTAATTTAATGATTAATGAATCAATTCCACGTTTCCCCATAGTGATTACTCTTAAATCAACTCATGAATTCAGTCATTAAATTATTACAATTTCTATAACCCCTTATTCTAACAAATTTAATTCTCCAAAAAGATAAAACACAAAACAGTAATATTTCAACTTACAGTATAAAACAATCACATATAAACAAATGAATAGTCTTAACACCATGTTTATACACAGATTGACTAAAGTTATATCTAATGTCCAAAATATATCTACAGTTTATATAGTGTTACCAATTTAATCAGAAATGGTACGATCTTCCGATATTTATCTTGTGATTTACAATTAGTTACTATCTAATTAGTTCTATTCAACGGTCAAAAAAACAAACAAATATTTCATTAAATATTTTTATGTATTGAATAAAAAAATACAGAAAATAAACGTTAGATAGATAGTTAGTTAGTTAGTTAGTTAGTTAGTTAGTTAGTTAGTTAGTTAGTTAGTTAGTTAGTTAGTTAGTTAGTTAGATAGATAGATAGATAGATAGATAGATAGATAGATAGATAGATAGATAGATAGATAGATAGATAGATAGATAGATAGAGAGATAGATAGATAGATAGATAGATAGATAGATAGATAGATAGATAGATAGATAGATAGATAGATAGATAGATAGATAGATAGATAGATAGATAGATAGATAGATAGATAGATAGATAGAGAGATAGATAGATAGATAGATAGATAGATAGATAGATAGATAGATAGATAGATAGATACATAAATAGAGAGATAGATAGATAGATAGATACATAAATAGAGAGATACAGAGATAGATAGATAGATTTTACAGAAAGAATAGAATGGATGAAGTGATTAAGTTCAAAGATGTGTTAATTAGCACTTACTTGTTTGCGCTTGTTAATCCCAGCGTAGTATAGGCCACCCAGCAGTATTCTCCAACCCAATCTGTCCTGGGCCTTCCTTTCTAGTTCAATCCAATTGTTTTTCATTCTTCTCATGTCTGTGTTGGATTAATGTGTTTTTGGATCTCGCTCTTTTCTTTCGACCTTAAGGATTCTAGATGAGGGCTTGCCTATATATTTATTAAATCTTACCTTGCTCTAACAGTTTTTTTAATATTACATATTTACGCATGTTAGCCCTCGTAGAGGAGTATAGACCACTCACTAGCATTCTTTATCAAATTCTGTTCTGAGCAATCCTTTTCATGTCTGCTCCCAATTAAACGCTTTGTTTATATAACATAAATTAAAAAGAAAACAAAAATGGGTGAAACTATAATTTATGAATGAATCATTAAGATAAACGATGATTGGTGTCAGGATTTTCCACGAGTGAACTCTAGGAAGCTCCAAGAAGCTCAGAAATGCCGAAAATATTCCATCCAATCATATTTTGAGGAACATCCCAGAATCGCAATATGAATCTTTCTCATTGGACAAATCCTAAAAGCCACTATATGAGGATCTTACGACTATATTGATGATTTTGCTTTTACTAAAAACTGTAGATACCTGAGAGTTTCGTTCCATATTTACTACTACATGGAATATTATTCCTTCTTACTCCTCTTCTGTTTTCTCATTTATAACTCGGAGAGCTTTAGCGTCCGAGTCCTCAAGCAGTAAGCGGTATAAAAAGAAACTAAGCTCTAAATATAACAACAGGTTTTGGATTTTGTCGCGAAACTCATTCATTCATCTGGATAAACAGCATTTTGGCATTTTAACTAATGTTAGTTCGTGATGAAAACTCTAAATCTAGTTCCTTATTCTAACCATCAACTGTAAAACATAATTCTCATTCCTTACATTGCTTTAAAAACATCATTTAATCCAAGTTAGTAGGTGGACCTTCTCAAGGTCATACCGACGTCACTCGAAGGTCATACATAAATTATAGTCTTATCCAAAATTGTCTAAACATTAAACAAGTTTTGTGCAAGTTGTATTTAAATATGTAATTATAAGCCAATTTGCTCATATGGAGCTGGTTATTTATATTTGACTGACTAATGTTATGTTTATCAAGTCTTTCTTAGTGCTGATTGAATTTCATCGGTCAAGTTGTAATGTGGTTAATCAACTAATCTACTTTGTAAAGTGGTTGAATAGTCACGAAATGAAACCTTAGACATTCACCCAGCTTCATAGTCAAATACATTACTAGCGAGCTATTTAGACCGTAATCCATCTTCTGTCTAAATGAGATGTTACGATCAATTAATCACTCAGTGGTGAACAGTGTCATATTTGTCAAGTCATTTTTAATGCTAATCAGATTTGCTAAAACAAGTTACAAGGTTCCCATCTAAAATTAAAGCAGCTTCATTTTGCCTTGAAAATTGTGTAGTGGTACCAAAATCAATAATAAAAAAAGATATATGTATACTATGTATAAACTGATTAAAAATCACGATAAAGTTAGTTACTTATGAGTATTATATAACTTTGATCGTTCAATTTGATCCAACCATAAGTAATATTTAATAGATATTCTCTTTAAAGAATAAATCCATGGTATTTTAAGAGAAGAATAATCTCGATCAATATTCTAAATGGCAACTATAAATGTGTATAAGTAGATATACTCGAAACTAAATACATGAATGGTGATATAAGAGATCACTCAAAGTACTGTATGTAGCCTATGTTTACAGTGTTTTATATTCAATAACAATGTACAAATTAAATGAAACCATAGAAGAAATGAATAATAATAATAATAATGGTTACTATTCACAAAAGTTCCATTTCTTTACAGCTCCTCTTAGAGTGTTCAACTGGAACAATGATAGAAAACCATGTACATGCATACAGAATACTCCATAAAGGTGAACATGTTAATTTACATTAAGTAATTAGATGAATAGTAATAATAATTATTATTACTATTATATATATATAGCATGTGAGGTAGTGATGTGCGTGGTATACTTATACATAGAATGATCATACACGTATGTGACCTTGAGCATACAGAAAGAAAACAATAGTAATCACGTTCAATACAGGAACATCTCTGTTGTGAACACACGGAAATCAGTGATGTAACACAAAAGAATAATAAAGATGAATTAAGTATGTTAACATTTTAACATAATTCAAATACTTATATTAGAATAAATATTTGGCTAGGCAAGCCCTAACTTAGAATCGTGAAGGGAAGCGGAAAAGAGGAAGACCGAAAAAAACACTACGTTGGAAAATGGAAGTAAATATAAAAGAGATGAATAGTAAGTGGAAAGAACTTGAAAGACAGGCTTAGATTGAGATTGCTGGTTGGCTATCTATGATTTACGACGGGAAATAACAGCTGTAAGTAATTAAATAAGTGTTCGGCGGTAGGAAAAGACTGTGAGTTTAAATGCAAACAAGAAATATTTGAAAATATTTACATGAGAAACTGGCTAGCAAACCACACATAACGTTGTGGTTTATTTATTGCTCTACTGGAATGGGTTGTCTATTTAGGGTTTGGAGTAGAGTTACTAGTGGTTTCCAGTTTATATGAAACAGGATGAAACTTACTTGTTCATATTGGTATTGTCATTCTTTTCACTGATTGTTTACAACATCTGGCTCTATTCCCGCCTATAGGAACAATCGTCTATATACCGTTCTTGTCCACGATGAAGTGTTTCTCCACACGGTTTATTACACGACCGAGACCTTTGCAAATGGTTTTTAAATGACTGTTTAACTGATTCAGTATGTTCATATATAAATTTACAAGTTATCAGATGTTTCCAACGTTTTTCTCGTTGAGTGTGTATGAGTAAATAACTTTTTTAGAGTTCGCAAGTGGTTAATTCAAATGATGCTTCGAAAACTTGATCGATCACTTTATATTTTTATTATCTTTACTGCAAAGGCTGTACCATGGAAAAAGTTTGTTTGTTGCTCATCTAACATCTTTCTTCTTTGTGGATCAAGCTCCAAGAAGAATAAGAAGGAAGAGGTTACTGTACTTCGTTGTTTCAGCCTATGAAACTAGCGAGTAATTTAATTTTATGGAAAATCTTTCCATCTCCCTGCTCAATAGACTTTCGCTGTAATTTTATGTACTCTTATGTATAATACTCGTTGGAACAGTGAACCACAGCATTTGATAATGGTTGATGGGAATCCGAACATGGAAATCCACTGATCGAGGAATACTGGAGACGTTCTCCTGAAATCATCCTTCCTAGTAAATATGTGCTCATAAATGAGCTAACTTAGGTTCAAGTACACGACCTACAGTTCTCTTAGTCTTCCCTTAAATCGTGGAACTAAACTTACTTCATCTCTTCATTTCTACGCTTCAGGACTGACTTGTGTCAACACCTGGAGTAAGAATAGGGAGTGAAGTAATCCGATGGGTTGACAGCTTTACCTGTCTTGGAAGTCTGATCATCATGTGGTGGTGTCTGAGGGAATCTCAGCACGGATTCGAAAAGTTCATTTGGTTTTTGCTAACATCCTTCACGTATGGCGAAGGCGAGATATCCGTCTATCAATTCAGGGACGAGTATACTGTGTGGCAGTTCGTTCTGTTTTACTTTACCGTTTGGAAACTCGACCATTAAGAGTAGAAGATACTCATAAGCGACTATTATTTGACCACAGATACCAAAAAAATATTCCTCGCATCTGCTGTGATCACCGGGTAATTAATAGTGAGGTTAGACGTAGAGTATTAGGGAATGATTGTAAACCAGTTGATCAGGTTGTGAATCTTCATCAACTGAGCTGGTTGGGTCATGTGTTACGTATACCTGAACACCGATTATAACGACCGTGCAATGATCACTAGTGTAGGGGATGGTTGGAAGAAAGTTAGGGTCGGTCAAACCAAAATCTGGCATCAGTTCTTGAAGTCACTAATTTCTGACCTGAGCCATGTTGGTAGATGCAGACTACATGGTTGGAGTCCGCTGAGACTATCGTAACTAATGGTTGAAGACTCTGTATGACATGGCTCAGAATTGATCACAATAGCGTCGGTGTATATACTCCTTTTCCTCCCTTAAACTATGAAATTAAAATCACTTCATATCTTTCTTTCTACAAACTAATTCCTTCTTCCTTTACTATGTCCTTATATGCAATCTTTCTGTTATATATATATATATATATATATATATATATATATATATATATATATATATATATATATATATATATATATATATATAGTGCTATTGATGTATG